ATCGGAGTGATGGTTAAACTATAAAATACATTTAGAGGGGTTTCTAATTGTCACCAAACTTTGATCGCTGTTAATGGATGTCACTTTTTCTGCTTTAATTACTTTAGGCCATCATTGCTGATTTAGTAAATCTGTGAGCACATGTAGGCGCATACACAAACACACAGACAGACTCACATGCTCCGAGGTTGGCATTGACTTGAACTAAGCAAATCACTTAAAACATTATTAAAGAACTTAGATTTCAGGCATAAATACCGCTTTTTATAATGAGCCATTTATTCAGATGATGTTCTTCATACGACAGACGAAAGCTTAGCACGTTTTTGCACCAGAAGCCAGAAAGATTGCCTCGCAATGTTCCATTCTGGTGAGATCTAGCTTGGAATCTCTTCACCAAACACTTCCACTCGAAATGGAAGTGAGCTTAGAAGAAGATTTCTTGAAACCAAACTTTTCGTCATACCTTCCAGTTGAATCAGTTTCTTGACATTTACCATTACACAACCCTTTTTCCATGTACCTCCATGGCCTCCTTCCCTCAGCACGATCCTGTCAAGCATCAGGACATGAATGATTCCTTCTCAAGTCTGCTCTACGGCATCTCCGTTCTCTGCATCCTTCCGTTGGCCAGCTTTCTGGCCGTACTCTGTTACCTCACGGGTCGGCGTCGTGTCAAAAGCCTGACAACCAGACGGCAGCTAAAGACGTCTCCGGTCGTCACATTCTCCAATCCTGCCAACGGCTACAAGTCACCTCCGTTAGGCTATCCCCGAATTTGTTCGTTGCCGATGAGCCACATCACACAGCACCGGCTGCCATCTCTCGGGCCAGAATCCCTCGGCTCCACGTACAACTCTCCGTCCGCCAGAGCCTACACCGGCAACTTGAGCCGCGACATTTCCGGTTGTCAAGTGATCTGCAACAACCTCGGCCATCGCGCCGCAGACAGCTCGGCCGGCAGCCTCGTCTCGGGTCTCGATTTGTCCCCAGGCCAGGACGTCAAGACCGAATCCGGCCTCGAGTCTCTCGCCTCCTCGAAGATGGCCACCCTGTTCAGGGGTTTTGCTGCCAACACGCTCAATTCAGCTGAGCTACCCTCGCCGTCTGGACGGCTGGCCGGATTC